TTGGTTTCAGTAACATTTGTACTTCATAGATAGGATATCATATATATGAGGACTTTGCTAAATCTCACGTTAAGAACTAGGGAGGGTAAAACTTCAATCCTGCTTCTAAAAAAAAGTTCATCTGAGCAGAAGGGCTAAGGTACTGTAATTAAGTATCTCCCCATTTCCCATCTATTTTTGTCTGTGGACAAGATAAGTAGCACATCAAGTTAAATAAAATGTGTTTGCAAACTGTAAGGTATGCATATGACAGACATTGTTCTGGTATTCTAAATTTAGCACATTTTCTTTAATAATTCTTTTAGCTTGAAAAAGTACTTGGAAAGAATGGGTTGCTTTGATAGCAAACCATAAAAAAAAAAAAATTCCCCAAAATTTCCCCAAAATTACTTCTTGCTGAGATTTAAAATTGAAATTCATTTGGTAAGTGGTATTTGAGCTAATAGGTATTAACAGTCATGGTTATAGTTTCCCTTTTCAAGGATGTAAATCAAATAAGGAAACTTCTGAAGTAGTGCAACTGGAATTAAATTGTTTGCCAAATATTCAAAGCAGAATCGCTGTCAAATCACTACACGCATATTTTTTTTTGGCTATATGATAAATAAAAAGACGAATAAGCTCACAGACAATTGTTTTTCTGTTTCAAAGGTTGCAAAGCTATGGCTTGAGATGAAAACTCAGAATGGAGACTAGTTTGTATTTCTGTTACATACCTACCAATTTCCATCACTCATTCTTCAATTATCCCATCCTAGTCTCTTACTCTGAATGGAAACTAATGTTGCTGAAAGCTTCTTCCCACCTAGTGCTTTCCATATGTGTTGGACTACAATCCTCCACCTTTCAACTTTATGGGATTTTCTAAAAAGAAACAGTTGCCCTGTAATTTGCTTTATTATCCTGACATGTTCTGACGAAAATCTATTTCTCAAGGGAAATTGCTAGTTGTAAAATTTCATGATTTAAGGATTTCTCTCTCTCCCTCTGTCATTCTCCCTCTCTCTCTCTTTCTCTCTCCCCCTTCTCTTTTGCAAATATCTCTTCAAAAGAATGAAGAATTATAACTACATCATGTAGTCCTTTAAATGTTGCCAAATTCAAGATTCTATAAATTAAGTATCTGTGCAATCTGTGCAAACAGCATTTGAGAAGATATTTTTACAAACCATTTTGTCATATGACCTCATTGGTCAATTGATTCTGGATAAAAATGCATAACTAAACTAATCATTATGTACAGAATTTAAATTTTCATTTGCACATTATGATGCACCACTTATGTGTTCATCAGGTGTACAATAAAACATTTATTATTTCCATATTTAGAATCAAGGCATTTTTTTCTGATGATATGCTATCTAATTGCTTAATCAGAAAGGTTATATAGAATAGTTTTAACAGTGGGGTTTTTTCTAATTAACATTATAATGCAAAGCTGCACCACAGCCTATTTTATTAGTGAAAACCAAATAGGCTTAATTTTACTTAATTTTACAGTGTCAATTACATCACCAAAACCTACAAGAAACTTTTATGAATATGACTTTGTGTCTTTTGAATGTCAGGTTAACTGAATTAAATATTTTTAATATGCATATTCTATTTTTAAAGTATTAGCTATGATAAATCATAATATATAGCATATCAAAACTGAACGGATATTAACAAAGTTGAGATTTATCATATACTTTACATAAGAGAATAGGCATTTTTATTAATGTCAGATTACTGATTCCTCTAATTCAGATTTGTAGCAATTCTCAAAAAATCTGGTTGTGTCTTTTCTAACTTAACTTTCATTGCCAATAGTTGAATTTGGGATTTTTTAAAGGTTAAAAAAAAACCCAGCCCTAGCACTGAGGCAAAGCCCTTTCTATAATATGTTATTGCTAGGCTGTTTAGTCCAATGGACAGTAAACTCTACATACCTAGCCATTGTGTGTTAACGGGCAGAATATGTGCTTGACAATTGAGAGTATATTCAATATTAATTTTGGAATGGCCATTTTAGAATAAAGCATTTGCTTGGTTTTAATTTTACTATATATTCTGTTTATAGAAAGTACATGTGTATATCCGTTGCAGCAACTTTGTAATATATTAAATTTGAAATGTACTATATACAGAAGATTGGGAGAGACTGATAGTGTTGTGGTTAGCCGGCAGCAGGTGCAGATAGCTGAGGAGAGCGATGACTCTGATGAGGGGCCAGGACCATCAGGGAGTGGACTGCTGCCTTCAGAGATTGTGGGAGCTGGCAGTAGTGATGAGGAGGTTCCCGAGGAGCCTGTGCCAAGTGCACGTGAGTGCAGGATGATTTGCAGAAGAGAACAGCTGGAGCAGCACAGGTGACTCGGGAGTAAGGATGCAATGTAATGGCCCCTCCCTCCAGGGAATATAAGCCTGGTTTCAAAAGGTTTTTGCCTTTGCAGAAAGCAAAAACATTCTAAGGATCCATCATTGTGTGTAGAAACTCCGGCTTATCTGAAGAATTCTGTCAAGGCTTTTCTGGTTGGACTAATTGGCTGAAAGCCATCTTTTATCTACAAACAAGTTTATTTGTAGGTTAAAGCTGTGAAGGTTTGAGTTGCTGCGTTGGTTTGAGATTTTCTTGCTGGTAACAGCGTTGTGTCAGAACAGATAGGAGTTAGAAAGTTCCACTTACTGTCTGCAAAGCCAGGGCATTTTATAAAATATTTCAAGTATATAACTGCATTTTTATAAGCAGAAAAATAAATACACATATACACAGAATAAATTATGATATGTATAATTTGTATAAAATTCAATATAAATAATCTTTATAAACATTACCGCACAATATAAGGTGGTATAGGATTATAAGAGGAAAATTGGACTTATTTCCATATAATTAGAATTATATGGAAATAGTAGGCATTGTAGAATGAATGAATGGGATATGTGATTAGTTAGAAGATGTGAACCATTTTATTGAGAAGTCATAAACATTAGAAAGTGTTGTGTAGTTTAAAACTACTTATACCTGAACCCTTTAGGGTTCCCACTTACTAAATATTGTATAATGGTACAATCTTTTTCTAAGTATTTTTATATAACTTTTGTACTTTTGAATATGTTCTTGGCTGGTTTTGGCATATTTAATTATCACAAATTATTCTGATCCTGAAAACGTAAGTAATAGCTATATTCTATTCAGTTTTGTACTGAATAAATAAGACCAGATTATTAGGAACAAACATATTAAAAAGTTAGGGCTCTTTATACCTTCTTTAACTGATATTAAATAAAGAAAACTATATACATTAATCTAACAATAGATAGGCTGGTACAAATATATTTGAGTTGAAAATATCAGAATTCAAAAAAATCATTATGAGCTATTGGAATGAAAGTCTCCATAGCACACAATTTCTAGAAATACTTATGCCTCCATTTTATCTCAAAAGGCCATGAAAATGTCGTTATCTACAGGAGAAATATTCTGTTACGTATCCCTTTAAAAAAAAGGACATCAAAGTTACAAGCACAAAAAATTCTAGTGAGGTAGGAATATCAAAAAGAAAAATGTCAGCTCTAAAGAACAAAGGTTTAGTTGGCCAACTGGTTTAGAGCTATTTGCCACTTAAATGGCCTTTCCTAGTTGGCTTTTGATTCCTACAGCAGCAGAAAAGTTACAAGCCGCTATTATGTTCAGTAACAAAAAAATGTTTTCCATGCTTTTAAATGAATGTATAAGTGGAGAATATACCACTTCATTTGAAGGATCTGATCTTTGGGGAAGTAAAGTAGGTCATTTGTAAAAAAAAATGATTGAATTTCTCTTATAATTATTAATGGTGTTCTGTTTCTATTCATATACAGCATTTTGGAATCTCGTGAGAATGCTGGGTAGCATAAAGCTCTACTCAGAATGGGCTAAAAACTCTTGTGAATATTTTAATTAAAGATGAACCAGGTTTGGGTCAATTACTTGTGGGCCACAAGGTGGGGGAAGAGGGCTCATTTTGCAATAATAGAAGGAATTGTATAGAACTATTATTGCATTAGAGTAAAGATGTACTATGATGCATGTCTGTATCAAGACCAGTGATTAGAATATTATTAACACATGGAATATCCTTAACTATACAAGTCAATATAAATCATGAAATACATCTATTACATAAATTTGTGATTAGTGATATTTTCATGTGTATAGACTGTGATAACACATGTATGTAGGAACAAAGAATTGGTCATGAACTGGATTTGTTGTATAAAGTTCTTTCTATTCAATAATCAGTTCACTAAAACCTAAACTGCATTTTAAAGTTAAGCAATAAAGGGAGGACAAATGCCAAATGATTTCAACTGGTTACTGACTTATTATATAAAAGTCTATTTGAAATATATATAATAGATATCAAATGAAAAATAATATGTAAATGTGTTTTCTATTAGGTTTCATAAGCAACTAAATTGTTTATAACATTAAAAAAATTCTGGTTTGTACTTTCTGATTGAATTATATTACAGAATTTAAATTTCTAATCAATATCTGTTTACCACAAACCCTTTGGAAATGTAGAAGCAGGATTTTTTTTTGTTTTTTAAATACTACAAACAATAACAAACAATAAATTACAACTTTTGTTTAGGGAATTACATTTAACTCCACCCCTCTTATGATGATACACCCTGCGATTAAATTTTGGACAGTATAAGAAATAAAGTTAAATGGTATAATACATAAAACATAAAATAGTAACTTTGAAAAGCCCCATTTTGGCTAATCAGCAGTTGCCAAAAGGCCTAAAAGAATCTAATCTATCTCTGCTACAAAACATTTTTTACCTGGGTGGGATATATCTATCTCCTGACAGTCATATTTAAATTTTTGAAAATTATGAGCTCATCCATTTCAGAATGGGTGTCAGATATTATGATCGTTTATGGTAGAAGTCAGGATGCTAACTTGTTTAATGATCAGCTATTGATGTTTCTTTCTTTCCTTATTTTCCCCCTTCATATTTCAGAATGAAGAATAAATTTTGGTATTTTGAATTCGGAACTTCTGAAACTTTCTCTGCTACCTGCAAGAAGCTGCATGAATCTCTGGAAATAGAAGTAAGAAAATAATTGCTGTATATAGTTCTGGCTAATGTAGAAGTGTATATTAATCCAAACTAATATGATAGAAGTATTCAAACTGGAAAAAAGTAATTCAAAATAAAAAAATGAAAATAGCAACGAATGCTAGGCAGTGAAATGTATTTGGTTTCAATGACCATCCCACTAAATTGAATTATTTTTGTTGAGTCCTCAGTATTGGAATAAAATTCATTTTAATGATTGCAAAGTCATATTTTTAAAAACAGATCTATCTTATTCATCTTTTAATTGAACCTATTTGTCTACTTTTATTTATTGACCTAAAATATTTTACATTGTGTGTATCATGCAGTCTAATCCTAGACTATGTACATAAATTTAAAAAATACATATAAATTCAATGAAATAATACATATAAAAATAATTACCATATAAAATAATTTAATTATGCCCACGGTTATTATAAGATCTCAAATGTTATGTACCAACTAATCATTAACAAAGTTGGTATCTATATTAACTCTAGGGTGAGTCTCTCTAAATAATAGTTGATTGATATCAAGTCCACACTGTTTGGGACAAATAGACACAAGGATCTCTATGGAGAGGGCTGTCTCATAGATATGATCACAAGTGTTCAGGATTTTACTAATATCAAAATCCAGGATAAAATCTGTAATTTATCAGTTTCTTTTAAAAAAATCAGACATAAAAAGGATATTTACTTGGGGTTCTATTCAGCAAAATATATACACGTAGATACATCTTGATATAAATATTTAATGAGATTAAATATTCAATTGAACATTCAAGAGATTTTTTACACCATCTACCATCAGATTTTGATAAAATTTATGTGAATTTTGATGAAAGGATTCATATTTTTAGATTCTTCTTATTGCTTTATGCTTAAGGATAAACTGGCCCTCCACACAGACAAAAATCACTTAATAAAAATGGATATTTTACTCCCAAATGCATTCTTTAATTTTAAATCAGGAAGATCTATAAATTCTCAGGGGCAACTCACCAGCCGCACCAACAGACTGAAGAACAATTTCTACCTGTGGGCTGTTAGACTTCTGAACAGAAAATAACTTCATGTCAACATTGTATGACAGATTTGCAGGACGGCATATTGTGCAACAAGGTCACATAGTGTAATAAGATTAGGATTGGGTTAGGGATATCTGTCCTCACTTTGAGTTGTGTTGGTGGGAAGGGTGCATGAAGGGAGGCTCAGCCAATCTCATTGTACACATGTTGTACTCTGACAATAAAGGTAATAAAAATGAATAGAGCTTAAAATATTATAAAATTCAGACCAAATTTCAGAAATAACCCAAACTGTAAAGGAGATACTTTTCTTTGTATTCATGGAATAATAGATAATATTATAATTGTATTTGTAACTGAATTTGTTTCAAAGGAAACTGAAAGTTTCTTCTTTATATTTTTTCTTTCTTTTGGGACTTTTGTTTTTTACTTAGTTTTGTTTTTATTAGCTTGTGTTAATTTTTATGTTCTTTACAAAACTATAAATATAACCCAGACCAATTCATTTCAATTATTTTTCATAAACATAGATATCTGCTAGAGACAATAATATTCTTGCTGACTTCTATACCTACTTACTTAAAATAACATTCTTCACCCAATAACCTCTAGAAACTTTAATTATAAATGTCCCAAAATTCCCATCTAGAAATTTTAAAGGTACTAAATTCCTGCCTAGTTAGAAAAGTAAGAAAATTATGTTAATGTTTCCCTTTTCTGTGGACAAAATTAAGATACAATGCAATGGTATGCTGAGTAGAGACTAACTATGTAATATGAAATCCAACTAAAATATCCAATAAATGAAAAAAATAAAAATAAACAAGCAAATAAATAGACATTACTCCTGAAGGGGACACATTGCAGTTGAATATTTAACAAAAATATAACAATCTTAAACACCCACAGCAATAGAAATAAAATGAAAAATCCGTAAAACATAAAATAAATCAAAATCCTGAGATCATTTAAAAAACTATTTTTTCATGTTTCAGAGGTCAGCACTGTCACTAAAAATTGAGTTGAAAAATTCATTCCCATTACATATTTATAGCAATAAATGTCTATGTGCATATAAACACATTGAAGAAAAATCTGACACTTAGGTTTTCCGTTATAATGAAATGGCAACAAAGCATTAGCAATCTAATGGCAACGAAGTCCATGTCAACCCAAGTAATTTACTGTACTGTACCATAACTCATTGACTATGGGGGATTGAAACTACAGAGGTACTATATAATACATACCATGTAATCAGGGGTAGGCTTCAAAAATTTTAGCAACTGCTTCTCTGCCAGGTTGCTGGGTGGGCATGGCCATGGTGGCAATGGACTAGTTGATCTCCTGCACCATGGTAGGCGGAGCGTTTTTGCCTTCTCTGGGCTCCAGAGGCTTTCCTCGAGCCTTCGGAAGGGCGAAAATTGCATCTCCTGGCACTAGAGGCTCTCTAGAAGCCAGAAACAGGCCCATTTCTGGTCTTCCCGAACTTCGGGGAGGCCCATTTTTCACCTTCTCTAAGCCTCTGTGTGCACCCTGCACTTACTTGCATCCAAAATGGGCCATGTGGGGACTCCTGGGAGGGGCGGGGTGGGTGGGCAGGGCCAGCCAGCAGTGGGATTTAGGGGTTCTCTAAACTGTGCAGAATCTTAGCTAGAGGATTTCCCGAACCCCTGTAAACCCCAGCAGCCCACCCTGCATGTATTAAGAAATGAAGTACATTGATGAGAGGCAATTTATGTTAGAGTTTGGATTAATATGGAGAGATGTTTTTCGCATTTTCTAAAATGGCTGGATTTAAGTAATTTAAATAGTGACATAATTCTTGTATTACTTGAAATATGAATATTGGAATTTGAGAAGGAGGAGAAAGAAGACCAAGAATAATCTGTATTCCAATTTAGGAAGTCTAATCTATGCATTTAGCTTCACATTCACCGGTGCTCATTTTGGCTTCCTTTCTGATTTCAGATATGTACACATATATTGTTTGCAAAATATTTTCTTCCCCATATTTGATAAAGTCAGAGAAAAGTTTGAAAAATTGGAACTCTTTTTCCTGCAGAAATATATATGTGTCTCATAGTTTTATAAGTAGCAATGATTATAAACCTTCACTAGAAAACAGGCAGGACAGAAAGGGGCTGTAATGCAAAAGAGCTATTTTAAATTATGGGTTCTTTTAAAAAACACATATTCAGAGGTTATCTGAAAGCAGTGGAGAAATACAAAGATACTCCATGGAGAATTAACCTGGGTTGTCAGAAGTTGTAGTTTCTCTACATAAATATAATAGAGTTTGTATTCCTTTCCCAGTTTCCTGTACCTTTTTGGGGGGGAGCTGACAAGGAAGAAGAGAACATAAACATAAGTGGAACATTATTTCAAAGATTTAATAAAACAGAACCAAAGCTTAACTTAATGTGTAACTTTCTCAAGAATCAGTGCAAATTCAAACCTGCTTTTGAAAGAACTGACATAAAGAACCATGCACTTTAATTTGGAAGACTTATTCATTCTTCCTCTCAGAAATAAGCGTGTAAAGCTCCATTGTTAAAAATCAAATGAATTTGAGACTAAGTGCTCTTTTGAAAAAAATACAAAAATGATACTGCACATATAAAGGACATATTATAAGGAAGCAGCTTATGAACAACTAGAGTATGAATTGCTCCTTGAATAATTTAATGTCCATTGTGTGACAAAACTCTAAACTCACTTCACTTCAGTGTGATCCTGCAGGGTTTCCTTATAAGAAGGATGGACAATATGTATTGAACAATATTCCCCATTTGGTTGTGTTTGAATAATAGGTCCTTTAGAACAGGAGTCGCCAACCTTTTGGACCTCAGGAACCACCAAATTCATAATTTTAAATCCCGGGGACCACTAATATGAATTTTGACTAATGGTGGCTTGCTGACAGTGGGAGAGAGAGAGAAAGAGAGAGAGAGAGAGAGAGAGAGAGAGAGATGATCTAACCTGTCTCCCTCCATCCCTCCCTCTCTCTCCCTCTCTCTCTCACACACACAAACACACAAACACAGAGATTTCTTAACAATGGTTTTGTGGGTGGGCCTAATTTTTGGGTGTAGCTTGGTGGTCATGTGACTGGCTGGACATCACTTTTATGTAAATATTATAAATATATATATATAAATATTGAATTTTTTATAAAAAAAAGAGCAACTTTTACCCAAAATCAGGCAAAGCAGGCAGGCAGATTGAGTTGCTCACAGAATCAAGATTCACTTAAAGATCTGTGTTTCTGCCATCGGATAGCTGAGTCTACACTGCTTCAGTCCTAAGGAAGGTTCCGCTTTGCTTAAAAGCAGAGCCGAAGATCTAAAGATTAGCTAGAGAGCAGGAAATCCAACGATTTCCTGCTTTCTAGCTAATCTAAATCTCCCTGCATAGTAGAATAGTGGATGGTTGGAAAAAGGAAAAATAGCAACTTAGCAGGCAAGTTTGCCAGGTAAGGAGTGAGTGGGCGGGGAGGGAAGGACATGTGGGTGGCGCAGCCTTGTATTCCCTTGCAGCCTGGATTAATTTCTTTGGGGGTGACATTTCTCTGCGGACCACCACAATTTTCTCGTAGAGTACCAGTGGGCTGCGACCCATTGGTTGGCGACTGCTGCTTTAGAATGATGGAAGCCCAGTCCAATATCTGGACAACCACATGTTCCTCAGCTTGCTATTTGATAATCTTCAGTTATACATTGCATTTCTGTCACTTAAATCATACAATAGGTATCATTTTCTACAGACATTTTGTTTGGAAAGGATGGACATGTAGATGAACAAACAAATGCCTGTAGACAATGTCTCATTTATATTATTCACCAACATTTTGCAAAATAATTACCATACTTTATATCAAAAATAAAATCAATAAATATATAATACATTTATGAAATGTTAGCAAGATGAAGATAGATTTGTACAGAAATTATTCCATATCTGAACAAAAGAAATCCTTCTTTACTAATTCTGAAAGTAACTCATCACAGCATGATTCTGAGGCCTAGTGAAATAATTGTCTTAGTGTACTGCCTGCTGTGTTTGATATTGAGTGAAAACGCTCCCCGCACCTTCTTATATCACAATTCTCCCTTTATTTAAATAATTTTAGTCAGATGGAGAGGGGGCACAAGACCTTTATAAATTAACAGCAGGGAAATACCAAAGGTGTCAGATTGCATATTTATCATCTTTTTCGTGTAATACTTAAATATGTATTAAGAAGTGACTGACATAAATTAGGCAGATTTCTGAAGCCACAGGCTGTGGCTTGTAGAGGACCCCCTTCGGCTTGACATTTCATCCTTGTCAAAGATCAAATTATTTTAATTTAGGCTGCAAATTATAAGGAATGAAGACTTCTTTGTGGGAATTCCCTGTGGTAATCTGACTTTTGTTGTTACTGCTGCTTGTCAGTGTGCAAAAGATATAATATGCATGCAAATAAGGTTAAAAAATATGTACTATCTAATTATCCAGCCAGTACATTCCACTTGAAGACAGTGGGAGGCCTGACACACAGTATGTGTTTGATTCATTGAGGCCTGCAGGGTATTTACACAAGATTACTTTTAATTATGAAATTAATATCTGTTTATCAAGAATGTATAGCAGTAAGTGAGTGTATACACATGAGTAGAATTTTTAGTAAAAAGAAATCCTCTTAATACTTAACACCTATATGATATGTAAAAGTTTAATTCTAATAAAAAAAAAACTGTTACTAAGCACATACACCTCCACTATGCAACTTTACACACTTCGTTATCAGTACAGCTACCATGTAGTTCCTGTCTGTTTTACTGCGGGTGCTAGGAATAAATAATAAATATTCTATTTAGGCTTAAACTTTGTGTGCAAATTTAAACTTTGATTATTAAAAACATATTAAAATGATTAACTGATACTATGAAGTTGAAATAATAGAATTATTAAAGGTTAAAGAAACTTGTAGCCTTAGAGAGGCTGAAGGATATCAGTGCTATCATCCCTAATTGGCAAAACCAATAGCAATGTGAGGATCAAACTTTCTTATCAGTACTGAAAATAATCCAGCCTCTTGGAATCAAGTTTCCTTACTATAGGAGGTAAAGTCAAGCGGCATCTGGAAAACACCCAACTAGTCCATATTACCTCCAAGATATTCTATCAGCTATTAATGCTTACTAAAAGACTATTTCAGATTCACCTATTGTCTGTAATAAGTTTGTATTTTTCCTGCGCTCCATATATATTATATGAATATTTATGTAGCTGGACAAAAATCATAATAATATAGTAATGTCTGTTTTTATGGTTAGCTCTTATTTTATATCACTCAAAGTCACATACAATACATGAGATAAGGAGCTATATAAAGTGGATGAATGGATGATTGAATCATTGAATGGATGAATAAATGAATGGCATCCTAGATAAATGCTCCCCAAAACCAGTAGAAAAGAAATAAGTGCAATGGAAAGCAGCCTTCCCACAGCTCAGGGGTATCAAACTCAAGGCCTGGGGACCAGATCTGGCCTGTGAGGTGCTTAGATCTGGCCCGTGGGGCTGCCCTGGAAACAATAAATGACTGGTCCGCAGTGCCTCTGCAAGTGACAGCGGACCTTGCGAGGGCCACACGTGGTCCTATCAAGCACTGCTCTCAATGGCAGAGGGTTTCAAGAGGCTGTTGCAACCAAAAGCAGAGCTCATGAGGGCCTCACGTCACCCCCAAAAGCTCTGTTTTCACTGGCAGAGGGTTGCAGAAGCCTGTCACAGCCAAAGACAGAGCTTGGGAGCCCGTTTTTGCTGGCAGAGTGCTCAGGCCACCACACACACACCCAACATGAGTGACATCATCCTGGCCTTGCTCACCCTGTACACACCACCCCAGTCCCCTGAATTCAAACACAATCCTGATGTGGACTTCAATGAAAATGAGTTGACACCCCTGTCATAGCTGATAGGAATTAAGGTCTGACATATGAAACTCACTAAATTGCAGAAAGGTAGTGTAGGAAATTAAAATGACTGTGACCACAAAAGTACTGTTTAAGGTGTTTCCAGGTTGAAGGAATTAGCTGGAGACATCTGCTGCCCAAGGGACATTATGGTGGCTCCTTTTATGACCTTGTCAAGGAACTGGAGCAAATGACAGGAGCTCACCCCACCATGCAGGAGTACTCAGGTTTCAAACATGGGTTTTCTAACATCCAATCTAGTGTTCTAACCACGTGAGCTACTGGTCCATTTAAAAAATAATAATAATCTGGCATCCTGCCATGTAGAGCTTTAAAGGTTATAACCAGAAACTTGAATTGGACCTGGAAGTGGATGGCACACAAAGGGAATCATGCCCAATATGCCCAGTCTTATACCAGCTGAAGTTTTCCCATGTAGAAAGCATTGCAAAAGTGCAAACAGGAGATGACCAGGTCATGAATGACCAAGCAGAGATCCTCCCTATTCAGGATTCACCCCAGGATTCTAGAGGCTCTGCTATTCTGCTAAATACGCAGCTATAGAAAATTAATACAGGAAATATATGTTTAGTAAAATAATTTCAATAACAAAGATGCTGATATCCTCTAATCCCTAACTGATTTCTTCTCTTTATTTTATTTTATCTTATTATATTTTGATTCTCTCCATCTCTGTCTCTGTCCCTTTTTCTTTGGCAGTGTGATGGAATTCAGATAGATCTGAATAATATTTCTCTGGAAGGAATTGCTATTTTGAACATTCCAAGCATGCATGGAGGATCAAATCTTTGGGGTGAGACCAAGAAAAGACGAAGCTATCATCGATTTAAAAAAAATAGGCCAGATAAAAGGATCACTGTTACAGATGCTAAGGAATTGAAGTTTGCATGCCAAGGTGAGTTTCCAATTTTAAATGAATAGTTGGTTTTGGGTTCAAACTTTCAGATTGTAAAATAACAGAAAATAGTAGATCAAGCATTAAAAATAACAGAAGATTGTTTAACATATGAGGGATTTTCTGATGCAGGGGTTTTATAGAAAAACTCTAACTAGGGCAGGTGAAAAGTTTATGTCTATCAGCTTTTTAAACAGTATGCTTCCTGTCTAGGCTCAGATTTTTTAACTTCTTGACAGTTTCAAAAAATATTTTTATTTCCAAATTAAATATACTTTCTTGGCTGATAGAAAAATACATTTTACTAGAAATGTGTGTACAATTTGTACAATGACAGGATTTGATACATTTTGCAAATGACAAGGTTTATTCTACGCCTTGCCTTGAGAACTGACATACATACATACATGCATGCATGCATGCATGCATACATACATACGCACATCTCTGCATAATTTAATGAATATCTTCTCAGTTACTTTTATTTCCTGGGTGAGACAATATTCACTGGCTTGGACAAAGTCTCCAGAATTGCTAGTTCATATAAGATTTTTTTGCATGCAAGTTTCTATTCTTCTTAATATTTTAATGATCTTAATAGGCCTTAGAATTAATTTGCAAACAAGTTATTTCCATCAATGCCAAAATGTCAGGAGAAGCTTAGCCTTGTTATCCAGCTTTTCTTTTAATCTTAATGTAGCTTTGCCAGCCAAATAGATGTTTTGCTTTATAAACAACTATTTAAATATTTTTCATGACCTATCTATGCAGGGGACTTTGTAAAATGAAAAGTCTGGCATTGATTAACAGAGTTGTAGCAATATGAAAGAAAGTTCCCAGGCATTCTGACTAACTATTACAGGAATTGAAATGTCAGCCATACAATGTAGCAAACAGTTCTTCTTTCTGTAAAGGAAGTGCAAAAGCAGTTTTGACTTAAGATTAACATGTCATGCAAGAAATTATTATATTGTTGGATGGGCAGTCTGCCTTTGCACCACTGCAGATGTGGTAAGGATTAAGATTATCTGTATAGGCAAATAGAAAGATTGAGTCACGGAAAACCAATTTTCAGGAGATCCCAGACAAATGATGCCATAGAATAAAGAACTCAAAAGTAGATTTACAGAATAGGCATTTAACTAGGTGTAGGAGCCTGGTGGTCATTTATAGAATAAAGACACAGGCCTGAGCAAATAATAAGAGGAGACAGAAATCCAGCATGTCCAATGGAAATTACGTCAATTATAATTGAAAACATTGAATATGTTACTCTCCTTGTTCCCCCAAAATAAAAGCATACTTATGAAAAGTAGAAGAGACAAAGATGGTGAGGAAAAGATTTGGCCAGAGACCATGAATGTATAACAGAGGCATGAAACCAAAGCAAGCAAAAAAACACAATGCAAAACTAAACTTTTGTTCAAGGCTATATACAAGATGATTGGGTGATTAAAAAGAAATGACTATCAACTTCAGAAGTGGCACACTACAAGTCAGAAGTTATAGCATTTCCCCAGTCTTGAATAGAAAACAAAATGTAATTGATGTCATTTTCCATAAGTAAAGCCAAGGAGATAATGTCAAATAAATTCTTCTTTTTCTCAATATCTTTGCCTCTGCAAACTATCTGACTGCTTTTCTTCTGGCAAGGCCTCGAAACAAAGTGCAGTAACTGGAGAAAAGCAGGGGGAAAAAACTAACCCTAAACTCATCTATGAAAATGCCTTTTTATATTCATGGATCTGTTGGGTAATAAAGTCCCCTAGTCGTCTCAAATTATAGACTTTCAGCCTGGTGTTGAATGTTGAATGTTGTAGAAGAAAATTTATTTCAGATTTGTCATATAATGACAGATATTTTATTTGAAGAAGGATAACAGAGGAAACATGCTATTGGTTATTATTTTATCAATTATTAACCTGAAAATATTCAGCCATTCATCTGAATATATATACATATATACATATACGTTTTCTGAGGTTCTCGCGGGTATTTGTATGTGGATCTTTGGTTGTTCGGGTTTTCTCCCGCGTAAGATTCGAAGTATCTAGGCAACGTTTCGATGAAGTCTCATTCATCATCTTCAGGCTTCTGTCTTTGGCTCTTGCTTCTCAGAGTGATGTGAGATTGCAGCTGCTTCTTCCTTTTAACTGCTAGTGGGGGTGGGACTTGATTGGGTGGGGGCTTGGCTGTGTTCTGATTGGGTGGGGGTGTTCTCATTGGTAGGGGGTTTGGCTGTGTTCTGATTGGTTGGGGGGTTGGCCGTGTTTTGATTGGTTGGAGGCGTGTTCTGTTCAGGTGGGGGCTTGGTTGTGCTCAGGTTAGTCTTAGTTGCTGGGGGATTTGAGTTGGTGAGCTGTGATCTTGCTGTTTGGCTTCGAGTTCGTGGTCGTGCTGCATCTTCATAGTGGGTGTCGGTTTGCTTCATGTATGGCTCGGAGGGGTTTGAAGTGGGTGGTGATGCAGCTGCAGTGCAGCTTCTGGTCCATGGTCGTGTCTTATCTTCTGAGTGGGTGTGAGTCTGTTTTCTACATGGAAGTGTGGTGGTGGCATCTTGTGTGGCTCTCATGGGTGTGGGTCTGGTGTCATTCTTCATGTTAGGTACTCGTCTGTTCATGAGGGCGGGTTTCCAAATGGCTGGAAGGCGGGAGGTGTCATCTCATTTGTTCATGCTGTGTGGCGTTTTTCTATCTCTATGGCTTCCCTGATTATTCTGCTGTTGAAGTGTTCGGTTTTGGCAATAGTTCTGGTATTTTTAAAATCAATTTCATGTCCTGTGGCTTTGAGGTGTTGGACCAGGGAAGAGGTCGTTTCTTCTTTTTTGATTGAGTTCTTATGTTCTTCAATGCGTGCACTTATTCTTCTGTTAGTTTGTCCAATGTATGTGGTAGGGCAGGCAGTGCAGGGGATTTCGTATACTCCTTGGTTTTCTAATTCGATTTTGTCTTTGGGGTTTCTTAGGATGGTGGATATTTTTCTGTTTGTGCAGAATGCTGTTTTGATGTTGTGTTTTTGGAGGATCTTGCTAATTTTGTCTGTAGTGCCTTTTATATATGGGAGGAGGGCTTTGCCGTTTTCTTGTTCTCTGTCTTGGATTTTGGTTGGGGTTTCTTTTTGGATTAGGTGGGTAATCTTCTTTCTCTGGAATCCATTGGCTGTAAGTACGTTGGTGAGAGTGTGTAGTTCGGTTTTTTGGTGTTGTTCATCGGCTAAGCATTTTGTTCTGGAGATGAGTGTCTTGGCTACGGAATTGATCTGTGCTGGGTGGTGGTGTGAGAGTGCATGTAGATAGCGGTTTGTATGTGTTTTCTTCTGGTAGATGGTGTGAAAAAATAAAATAGAACAAGCTTTCAACAAGAGTTGAATAGTAATAAGTACAACGAATAAAATTCTAATGCCCCCCTTTCATTTTTTATTTATTTTCATTTCTTCTAAATACAAGCTATAGGAAATGCTATTATCTGACATTCACCATCTTTCCATGCCTGAACCTCATTACAGAGGTGGGCTGCTGGGGGCTCTCAAGGGCTCGGGAGAGCCCCTAGCTAAGACTACAGGGCTTGGAGAGCCCCCATAACCTCAGAAAGAAAAACAGCAAGGAAAATCATTTAATGGGCTTAAATGAACTTCTGGGCATTCAGCCAAGAGCATTTCATACTTCATGAAAGTGTTGCAAGCTAGATAAACAATGCATTCAGCGCTTGCAGGGAGAGCCATTGGAAAAATCAGATAACATAGCCCCTAGCCTCTGAGGGGATTAATTCCCAAATAATAAGTATCACATAACTTACCAGAAACTCCACTAAGACTCCAAGATCCCTCTCACAGTCACTGCTATTAAGCCTGGTTTCACCCAGTCTTTTGTTTAAATATTAAATGCATGAAATAATAAACTTTTTGGTATATATCTTCTTTTAGGTAATTAGGGCAAAGAAGCGATGTCAAGTTGGCAACATCCACCCAGTCACAAGACCACCGACCCACACCCACCTACCCATGCCCACCCAGCCAGTCATTAGGGTAGAAAGCCCCTTGCTAAAAAAAATTGAAGCCCACCCCTGCCTTATTATATTGCAAAGTGAAACAATTACTATAGGAAGGTAACAGATTTTAAAAGGAGCACCATTTTCATGTCTTCTGTATCAGTTTTTCTCTTCTTTTTCTCTCTGTTTTTAAAATGTTAGCTGCAGTCAGAAGAGGACCTCTCATGTTCATATTATGCATAGGAAAGTCTAAAACTAGTAACGTGAACATATCACTGTTATGTTCTTGAAACATATACCTGCAAATTAAATTATCCCTAAGATCAATTTTACTGTCTCAATGTTTGTGTCCCCGTGCTTGTGTCTCAATGCTTTAACCTAAATTTCTAGCATAAGGACCTAAAGCAGTGTTATCTTTGTGAGCTTAGAAGTAGTAAGAATTTGTTTTCTAAAGAAGCAGCATGCTGCCAAATACTTATTCAGAGACCTCAGAGCAGTTGCCAGTTAGATTGGCTCTAACCACTGCCATACCCTTTTAGTAGAACTACTGACATTCTACTTTTGTCTTCAACCAGATGTCATCCATTATTGAAAATATTCTCTCTGCAGGTGCATTGGATTCACTGCATGCCAAAACAAATTCAGTTAGCAACATAAGATTTTCATCATGCACTTTTGAAAAAGATTACTAACAGCTAGTCTCACTATCATTAAAAATACTGCATATAAAAGAGAGAACTGAATGAAATAATGTTCAAAATGTTTATAAGATATCAGAAAACCTTTTCTTTACCATAATTCTAAATGCAACTGCTACAGATTTGCTTAACTGATATTAAAAAAATATGGATAGGAATTTTGTTACTTTTCAGTATTGATGTAGATTCTAAGACTGATGGGATGCAGTGTGTGTGTTCATATGTATAGTGCTTTCTGTAGAATGAGTAACATTTCCATTCACTGGGATCATGTCAATTAAGTAAGGTCACCAAATTTACTGGAGCAGCAAGATTT